AGCACAACCCACTTGCGACCTTCGTATTGGTAGTAACTGCAGTGCACTCATGTATATTATGTGGGGCGAGGCGGGGACCAAGAAGGTGGGTGAAGGAAAGTGGGTCAATAAGAACGAATAAGTGTGGATAACACCAATTTCGTTGCAGCCTTCTTGGAGAGTAGGATCTTGGCTCTCATATGGTGGAGAATCTTACAGGAACGGGAATACTGGGTCATCAAAGGTGGTAAATCGATAACGGCCGATAAGGAAGTTGAGATTCTCAGCATCACCAATTTCTTCGCAGTCTTTGTGGTGACAGCAAAACCGTATCTCCTACATTTTGCATAGGGCCGGCCGGATACAATGACGGTGAGTGGCATAAACTGATTTCAAATGACATTGACCAAAAAGCGGCGTTTGAATCGCAAATAATCCTCCTCGAACCCATTGGTATACGATTGTTGTGGCAGGGTCCTGGTGGTGGGTGACAGAAAGTGGTATAGCGAATACTGTATTGGAAAAGTAGCCACAGTGTACACACTGTTGAACTACACCAGTTATTCAGCAAATAATCATAATCTACTTTTGATCCTTCAACAAGAAAACCAGAAGTTATTGAGTTGGGCCTGCGCCAATGTTGAATCTCCATCAGAGTTAGGCACTAGATGGTTTGTGGCGCATTTCAGTACTACATCAATGCTAATAGCGGAAAATGATTAAGACATTCGAAATTCATATGAATGCAAATGTTTTCAGAGTCATGTCAACTACTTCCACATGCTACTGCACGCACTAAGGGATAATTTTCAGAAACGTTGGTGCTTTGTCTAGCGGGTTTTTTTTTTCAAAGCATTTTACTAATGGTTTCTTGGTCATGTGACATAATATTCTGCGATTGGCCATTTTCACTGAAGCCCACCAATGCAATGCGATGCGCGCGGTTTGCATGCGGAGCTAAACTGGTATAAGACGGTTCTCACATTTCAGTTTGATATCTATGCACCAGAGGTCCGAGGTGTCTTTATCTCGTGTTTACGGATTTCTGCGAAAGCTCTCATGGATGAGTAGACCTGGCGTGTCAATAGCATTGGTTCGGTTGTCCTTCACAAGCAATACTGGTCCGACAGCAAAATTCTTCTCTTCAATGGAAACGTGCAACTAGTGAAGCCCGTAGCGGAATCGAGACAGCGACTTTTATAACCCTTGCTATCCTTTAAATTTGCTTGCAGCGGTTGTGAGTTAGACATTTCATGCCTCTAACCTTTCTTCTTGAGAACTATGCCAAAAACTTCTGCCGAAAAATGGGCCCGACAGCAGTTTTGGTGACCAATCGACGGATTTAGCGGGCTAAATCCCAGCGCTGCTCCGCATGTATCTTCGAGATTTTGCTCCTGGAATCACGAATACATTTCGTTCGCTTCCAGATCTATTGATGTTAGCAGATAAGCTATCGTACTTCTGGATGGTCGTCACCTGAAGTTTCGTGAAGACTGTGAATCGTCTTGCTTTGTAGTGCAATCAACCAGCTCGTTGGAGAAAAGGAGTAATTGTTCTCGAGGGTCAAAAGGACTGCTCATTCCGGATTTGGAACATCATCTGACGAACTGATCTCGAACTCGAGTCACCAAAATAAATACACAAAATACCAACACCTCTGCTGCTTATAAATAAAAACTGCAAGCGGCACGCTAATGCTACCGTAATTTTAGCCCGCCTTGTATTATTTTGAAAACCTGGCGCTGAAACGAATTTCGCCGTGTTCGACGTCTCCGAACATCAGCACTCCAAACAACCCGTATTGTTTAATGAAGAGGAACTGTTTCCTTGTAGGCATGTACTGATTGTAATGGTTTTGCTTCAACTAGACAGGTTCTCGTTCGAGCCGAGATATGCATGTTTGAAATCGGAGGGTAGGAAATGCAACTCTTCTTGAACGACCAAATATTTACAAAAGAACAGCAAAATCTTTGAAGCACTAAAAGATTCACAAGGGCAGGAGAACTAGAAAAATGATGACGAATCACGAGGAGCATCGCAAAGCAAATCGAGACATACTGAGTTCGGAACAAGCACACAATTGGAGTCATCGCAGCCTTCACCTGTTCCCACCTCGTACAGTTTAGCACCTTTGGGAACCCTGTAAAGACACAACACAACATCTCATTTTTATACAAAATGCTCTCAAGACGACCACGAACACGACTTACTCGGTGTTATAGACACAGAATAGGACAACCCCCTCCACTCTTCCGTACCAATCAGAACACTGCTTGTAATCGCAACCCAACTCGTAAATCTTGGAGTAGACCATCTGAAAATCAGCAAACGCTTAGAAATACTCACAAGTAGCAGTATCAGTGATAGCCCAAAAGACTACATTGGCGAACGTATAAAGCCTGGAATCATCGTACTCCACATTTCGGAAACCATAGATTTCAGCCGGTAAAGCCCATTGCTTCATAGCGAACTCAATGAGTTCATATTTCCTCATAAGACTGATGAGATCTTCGTCCGGAAAACTGGAACCAATAACTATACGAAGTATCCACTAGTAAGGTACTTAATTTACTGTCTACAAGCCCG